GATTTAGCTTGGAAAGCGGGGAGAATGGCGCTAGGCTTACCGCACCGTGACGTCACTGCTGGAAGATGGCAGGAGGGAGGGGCTACTAGATTTGGGCAAAGATGGCCGCTCCCAGACTCAGAGATCGCAACGAAAATTTGTTGTTTTATTGTTTTGACTGATTACACTAGAAAATGATGTAGAAATAAATAAATTTAAGTGTATTTACCCTTAATTTGAGTAACTAAATGAGATAGTTTGCCAAAGGAATGAGTATTTTTACTCTTAAAATAAGATAACTGGATAATATGAACTTGAAATAAGACAATGCAGTTGTGTTCTAATATTTTAAATCTAAATTGTCTCGCTCTGTTGGTAAAATGTCTCTTTTATCTCCTCAATTTAAGAACAAATGCACATATTTTAAGAAAAAATGACTTATCCAGATTTCTATTTTTTCCAGTGTAAATCTTAATTCATTAAATCACTGCAGACGTTTTAGTTTTATGTATAAATAATGACCCACTGGTTATTTCTAGCTGAACGGACTTCTCCTTTAAAGGGAGCTGAGAGGCAGGTCTTACGTTTGGGAACCACGTTGAGGTGGATCACCCTGGTGGTGTTGACTTCAAACTCGTAGTTGGAGTACAGGAGCTTGCGCTCGAAGGTGCAGCGGTAGGTCCCCGTGTCGTTGAAGGTGACATTGAGGATGTAGATGGAGCCGTCCTGCAGGTCCAGGGTGTGCTTGCTGCCGCTCCAGTCCAGACGCTCATAGAAGCGAGGGTCCAGGACCTCGCCCTGCTTGTTCTCATACGTGTACAACTGAAACATGAAGCAGGACAGAGACAGAAGCTGTGAGATGTTTATGGAGGCAGAACCAAGGAAGTTCACAACAAGCAGATCTCTGTGTTCATTTGTTTCACTTTCCTCCTCCTGCTGCTGCTGATGCTGCGTTTCCTGCTGAGTGCAGCAGCTGCAGCTCTTCCTGCTCCTGCAGTAAGTAAACGCTCTGAGTTTATGGCCGTTCCATTCCAGAGATCGGCAGAAGAACCCGTCATTAAAAATGCAACACTCAGCTTTCTGCTGACAAACCAAACAGTTTCCCACAAGATAATTACATCAGAAAGAGAAGCAGCCGTCTCCTGGGAGTGATGGGCACAGAGACGGCGCCGCTTCCTCCGGCGGCCTGATGTGGTTGGCTCAGAAGAAAAACAAGACTTACGCTCATCCTCTGTTTGTCCTTTCATTAAAGATCTGCTTCTAAAGTTTCTATTTGAACCCCAGTGGACCTCAGCAGATGGAGGTTTCTTCCTGTTCAAAGGGAGGTTTTCCTCTCCACTGTCGCTACAAGCAAACTTAAGTGTTGTTCACTTTCCAGTTCAACCAGATCATCCAGTCAGATTGATTCAAA